TCATCACGTTCATCAAAGACGAGCTCGGAAAATATTTGAAACTAAGATTTTTTCTTTATTTTTATGTTTAAATGATTCAGACACACATTGTGCAGGACACATACCAGGCAACAGCACAGCATACGTTCTTATACTACCAAGTCTGAGTGCACTGAGGCATGTCCTATTCTTCATGAACACAAAGACAGGCAGGAGTGTTTTATTCCAGATATGAGACAGCAGGTGAGAAGAAGAAGCTCGTAATGAAGCTGCATCGATGATGCACATACACACACAGACACATCAAGACATAAAGGGGAAATCAAATAACTGTGTTGTGTAATAACTTCTATGTTGTGCTTACTCCCTCTTGTGGTAGGGATTAGACTCACAGCCTTCATTTAACAGGGTGGGAAAAAAACTCAACACAATGAATGCATACACGTTCAACTAGCTGTCACAATAATAATTGAATGTTATTCAAATATGACCAAAAGACTTCAACACTTACTGTTAAAATTAACATTTAAGCATGTTTGAAATTTGGAAACATCAAGTATTATGGGTATCTTGTTTTCAAGCATTTGAATCCCAGAACAAAATACTGCTCCTCCTTAAACTCAATACGGGTTTACCTTTTCTAAAACTGAAATGTAATCCTTTAAAACCCCACTTGTGTTTGTTATTGTTTTTACATTTTCAGCTTTTTAATTAACACTTTAATAATCAATCAACTCAATCTATTAAATTATATTTCCAAACTGGCACGTTTAACATGACTTTGATTTGTTTTGCATTCAAACAAAAAAAATCTATAAAATGTTATCGCAAAGTGTTAGGACTCTTGAAACTTAATGTTTAACATTTTGCATTTGTTTTGTCTAATTATCTTTCCTGAATGGAAAATGTAACTGGCTTATAGGGCTTGGTATCATCACCACTGATTGTCTGAATCGATCCAATGCATAAGGTCCCAATATCCATTAATTTAGGGATGTTTAAGTTACAATACCAATTCTGTTTCAATATGATTAGGATTCTCAGAAAAAAATAATATTAAAAAGGTCAAAAATTGCCCATAGCAGTAACATGAATGTACTTATTAAGTCACCTCGGTCACAGAAATACGAAAGACTATATGATTTGAATGGATGAGGGGAAAGGGACTATAACCTATTAAAAGATTGATCTGTGGATTTTATGAATCAATATCAGATCTTTCATGAGAAAATTGATTTAAATCAGAAAATGTATTTTTTAAAGCAAGTCCTTCTGGCTTAGATAAGGTACAATGTGATCAGTGACCTACACCTTTATCTGCCTTTACAGCTGCACTAATAAATAAATAAAAACAATGAAACAAACAACATCAACAAGCCACTAAGGCTGCTCGATTATGGCAAGGATCAAAATTCCAATTCTTATTATTATTAATATTGAGATCACGATCATTAAACAGGATTTCTCTTTGACTTTACAACATCTGAAATCACATGCATATATCACACTTAAACATTCTCAACACCGTGCTGTTTGTCCCTTCTCCCCTTCTGTTGTCTCCAGCCCAGGTTAAGGGTTATCTCCATAATCTTGTTTTCATGATTTTGGGAAGTCAGAAATCATAACTGAAATTGAAACTCAATTAATTTCCCAGCTCCAAAATCCACATAATGGACAAAACAAAAACACATCCTAATAAGTCATTCATTTTGGTTCCCAAACTTTTTCTTCCTGCTCCCCTTCTGGCAGATGAAAATATTTTCAATCCCCTCCGCCGTCATGTATCGGCTTACACTAAACACGCTGTCAGTCACTCTCTTTGCACACAAACTCTCAATGTTTTCTCAAATATCGGCTGCAAGAGGAGAGAATATCAGTTCAGCGTGTGAAAAACAAACTAAAAAACTAGCAAGCGGCTTCTAAAGAGGAAGCAATTAAAAGTGATGCTGTAAGGTGAAACTTCCACATTTGTGATGTTGACATACCACGTAGATTTATTATCAGCCTTACATTCACCTGGAAGTTTCATCACAAAATGTGCCATGCCTTGCTAGCAGTGAAAAGCGATGTGAATTGTTTTTGTTAACCCTTGCCGTGCCACCCCTGGGAGGGTCCCAGGCCCCACTTTGATATACTTGATTTCTGCTGTATTTATCTGTCTGAACATGAAGACTGATCTTTAAATAATCCTGACCTAGCAGTTCACATATCCACCTCACAGCTGGAGACTACCCTCGTCAGAGGGGGGGGGGGGCAGAAAACATAATAGGGGGTCTAGCAAGAGAAACTCCGAGTGAAAAATTGAGCAGTCTTCCTGCAAATATCAGGAGCATTCAGGAGTTTTCTCTAAGTGTGAAAGCCCTCGGTTAAAAACACACTATAAAGCTACATCTTCAAAAATCATTGATTACTTGTATTTGTATTACATGTATGTGTGTTGACAATGTATTGACCTAGACCAAAATGAGCGGTTGTGCTTATTCTGGTGCATCTTTTTGTTGTCTTCATTCTATTTGCTGTAATAAGGTGTGCACAGGTTGATAACATAACCATGTTTATGATTCAATGTCATTAATGTTATAATATGTGAACTATGATGCTGGATGACTAGTTAAACTGGAGGAAACTGTCCCCCATCCGGGTCTGAATGACCAACAAACAGCAAGCCATGAATCTAATTTACATGGTGCAAACAATGAGAAGAACCATCCACAAGAGGGCGCTGTAACACAACGACATAGCAAAAGCGGTATGTGGGGTGATGTAAGACCCTTAGTGAATGTACTGTACCCTTGAGCTTTATTTTCTCTTGACAGCAATACATCCTCTATTTGATTTATCCCTAATCCACAGTGTGTGGAGATCCAGTGGTGTTACTATTATTAGACCATGATTTCCAACTATAGAGGCAGATTGTGATGACAAATGCTTCTGTGTTACACAGACGCAGCGCACAGGAAAAGATCATGACCGTCGTCGTTCTGCAGGATTTGAGTCCGTGCATCAGAGGACAGGCAGGCTGAGAAACACTCATCAAGTGAGTATGAGTCATTGTTCCTCCAGCAGGACTGTCTGGGAGAGCTTATGGCTAAACATAACTCTGACAGCTGCCCCATGGCTACAAAACGTACAGTGTCAACAGTTTGATTTTAATTATCTCACAGGGCTGTCTTAATAATAATCCAGGAAAACATTAACCACAGGAAAGAAAACAAAGGTAGCAGTCGATGTGGGGCTAATAGGTAAAGTGGATATGTGTGTCTGTCTGCATTACAGTATGTTTACATTCTGTTTGTACAGCCAGTGAGACGCTCACATTCAGGGAGACACAAGGCTGTTACACTAATCCAGTCTGTGACCCTTCTGTCATGACATCATCAAATTCAGCAACCAGTTAATACTTGTGAGTATTATCGGTACAACTGCTGCAAAGTCTTTCCCCAAAGCGTTATGCTATACAAGTCAGAAGCAAGTCAGCTTTTACTAATAGAACAGGTGAATGTATTCCTATGCAAATCTGTCATGTTATGTGCACATAAGAAAGAAATGGTAAATGGACTTTTCTAGTCTTCTGACTACTCAAAAGCACTTTTACACCACAGGTCACACCTACACATTCACACACTGATGTCAGAGGCTGCTGTGTAAAGTGTCCATCAGTATAAGCTAATCCATTCATACGGCGCTGAAGCCGGAGCAGCTTGGGTTTAAGTGTCTTGCTTGGACATGTGGCTGCAGGAGCTGGAGATCGAAACCCCGACCTTCTGGTTAGGAGTCGACCAACTCTTCCACTGAGCCAAAGCCGCCGGGAAGTCTTAAAAGCAATTGTAAGATGCTAAGCAATGCTAGTGGCTATATGATGTACGAGTTTGTTCAATTGCAAAAGTGTCTAAAACTATCTGTTAAGTCAGTTAACTAGCAGGCTAACATCAGCCTCCATAAGCTACCAGTCATACCTGAACAAGTAAGACGAGGCACAGTATTTTTGGAAAGAGGAGTTCTTGGGTTTTTCTAAAGAATCCTCCAAAGGTTTCTAGTCTCATGAGAAATGCATGCGTACATGCACTTTACTTATTGTATGTGTGTTACAAATGCAGTGGACATGTCCTGTACATTGTGCTAAAGTAACAATGACAAAGGGGAAATTACCACAGCATATTGGATGGAATGAGAAAACAGACAGACTGCCAATTTAAACAAACATAAAAATCAAGGGAAATTGTAAATACAGGTCTGTCCGTTAATGAATGTTTGTGAAGTTAGAGTGAGCACAGGTCATAAAAGACATATATGATGAGTTAATATGATTATTATTACTCTTATTAGCTACAGAGTTTGTTGTGTGTATAAGATAAGCTGAAAGTGTGTGTTTATACATGAGGGGCCAATATGGAAAATGAGAGCTTCATAACTGAGTGGAAAGACGAAGCATGTTGGTAGGGAAGAGTCGATACTGTGTGGTAGTAAAGAAAGGGTCCACTCTCATACAGTGTGTAAGATGCACTCCCCCTCCCCGAGTGTTAGTGAACTGTAAAACTCCACAGGTTTTTCCTGAAGTCCTTTACATTGATGTAAAAGTTGACAAGTAGGAAAATGTTAACCTTTTAGGAGTGCTAGCTGTTGAAGGGAGATGCCACACAGAAATGGCGGCTGGTCTAGTTCCCTTTTTTTATTTCATTGTACAATGATTTTATGTAAACTTTCCTTTTTTATAAACAAAACAGTTTTGTGCGATTCCTAAAATGTTGGTGGCTGTGGCTCAGTTGGTAGAGTCGGTTGTCTCTTAACCGGAAGGTCGGGAGGTCGATCTCCAGCTCCTGTGTCCATTTACCATTTACCATTTAAAATGTGTGCTTGTTCATAAAAGGACAATCAGTGTTTTTATTACAAGGTGTTGCTTTTGATTCACGGTTGAAATTGTTTAACTTGTTTATCAGTTTTACAGTCAGATACTGTAAAAACCTCGTATCAGTAAAGCAGCACTGGTGTAGTGTGGGTTGAACGAGGAATGAGTATCTTACCGTGGCTGTAGCTGACCCCCGGGCTCAGGGTGGAGGGGGTGGCGACATGTTCCCTGTTGGGTGTTTGGAGGCCCGCCTCCTTCTCCTTGTCCTTGTCCTTCTCCCTCTCCTTGTCCCGCTCCTTCACCTGGCGCTGGCTCATCCTGCCTGGGGTCAGAAGGAGGGTGTCATCCCCGCTCACTACAGCAGCTACAGACAGAGAAGAAGAAGAGAGGAGGGGAGGGAGATGAAGAGGAAGGACGTAAGAGGAGAGATCAGACATGTTTCCATCTTACTTCAGAGCAGAGAATATCTACAAACAGTCATTTGTGTCTAAACACATTATGACCACTCATATAACACGACTTTAATGCACCACTTATGAATGGAAAAAGAGCTTTTAATGAGTGTCCCTTATTACTACAACTTGTTTATCCACCTTTAATAAAGAGAGCTGGCTGATTGTTCCTCAGCTCTTTTTTAGTTTACAAATGTAGAAATAAACGTTTGCAATTAAAACAGGATTTTTATCTTTCTAATACAAGAAAACTCAGGGATTATGTAACTTTGCATCTCCGAATAGGACTCCACATGAAACTCAAAACAGCTCATATTTGAGCATATTTAAGTGTTGAGAATATTTGTTAATCGAACTTTTCGAGTTTATCAAGTTAAGATATTTTATTCCAACATAAAAGAAAGAGAGGTTAGATGTTTGAGGCTACTACAGTTACTGCTCTAGAAAAAAGTCACCTTCTTTCCAGCTTGTTCTTTTTAAGCTACAACAGCAGAATCTATTGATTTCGCTCTTGTTTTCAGACATTTTGATTTTGTTTCATGATGCAGTAAGTGAGGTAGCCTGAGGCAGGTTCATTTTCAAATTTTAAGAAGAAATGTTTTCATTCCACGTTCTTCAGATTTTCGAAGGTTATTCTGAACAAAATCAGTTCAGTACAGTTCTTGTACACCTTGTTCACTGGCTTTTTGACAACCTCCTCCTCAAACCTTGCAAAAGGGAACTAGTAAAATAAAAAAGTATCCAAAAAATATCAGTGAGCTGAGACTAAAATGTGCACAAAGCAAGTTAAGGTCGCCCACGGCTCTGCTAGATGAACTCCACGATCTCTTCATCTACACAACATGTCCTGTTCCAAATGCCTTAAGAAACTTGGGACGATGCAAATGACAGTGATGTCTGAACTATTAATATAACAATAAAGGGCTTACAACAGTTTAAAGTATACAATACCATGGAAAATACCACAGTATGGGAAAACTAGTGGGAAAGTGGTGCATCACAAATTGATTAATTTGATACTTTTTGACAACATAGATTTTTCAATGATGAATAGAATCAAAAATTACCAAAGCTAAAATGATATATATTTAAATCATAAGACATGTGCATAGGAGGGGGAATGAATCCAACAATAATTGCAAGACATCGCCTGAATTCTGTCTCAATTGCATAAATACTTTTGATCATTGAAAACAAGAAATAAGTTGAATATTGGGTGGGAGTTTAGGACTTATATTTGTGTTGCTGTGAGAGCCAAACAGGTAGGTTTGCTTTTTATAAGTATTATATTGAATTTCAAACTTCAAGTATTGTGACAACCCTTCTTGAAACACACATGTTGTTAATACCCATCATTCTCTCCCCTAGCCCCTTCCCCTGACTGTGTGAACTGCCCTTAGTCTTAACTCTGAAAAGGCACTGGCTTACCAGAGGTGGCATGGTGCTCTTTCAACTCTGCATGGGGCTATCAGCGGAAAAGAGGTGGAGACAGAAAAAGAAAAGTGCAGGGGGGGGGGGAGTGGAAGTAAGGGGAGCATGGAGATTAAAGGAGGGGAGAGGGAGGAGGGTGCATCCACCACGTGTTGTTGACCAGATGTCGGCAGTGGTGGGTTGTGCGTGACAGCAGAATGGCGATAGTTGTGCAGCATCGACATCAGCAGCAGCAGCCAAACAGGACGACAGCAAACAAACGAAAAAAAGAGGAGACAAGAGACAGAAAAAAAAGGAAAACAGACATTAGTTTAACCAAAATATTAACAGAAGACAAAACTTGACACAAAACTCGCAACAGATTGAAGCAATGGGAATGATAAAAGATGATGATGATGAACATTACAACAGCATACAGACAGACATTCACAACAAAATTAGAAACACATGTTGACTGATATTCCTGCTGCATCCATTCATAAAAACTCAAACAACACTGATTTATTTTTACTCATGAAGAATAAGTAAAGAGCAGAAGATTTTAGATGAAAACAATAAAAAAAGAAAAAGCCTACAGCCATGCAAGCTCCTCTGTGAGCTACATACTGACTGTCGTTGCATATGTATTTTCCAGTGAGACAGGCGAATGACAGGACGCTTTTATTATGGTAATATAATGCTGATCTGATGACCATTCAGAAGCTCTAATTCCATTCACTACAATCGGACACAGTAAAGAAAAGAGGGTCTACGGCGATGCAGTGCCCTGACAGTAAGAAGGTTCCTGGTTCAGGTCTGTGAGGAGCTGCATGTACGGGGTTTCCTCCCACAGTCCAAAGACATGATTGTTAGGTTAATTGGTGACCTCTAAAGTCACCTGTTGGTGTGAATGTGAGTGTGGATGCTTGTTTGTCTCTGTATGTCAGCCCTGTGATTGACTGGCGACCTGTTCAGGGTGTAACCCCGCTTCTCAGCCAGTGAAAAAGATTCTGCTGGTGGGCTTTTTAGGTCGGGTAGAATCGGTTATATCTGAACCAGTTCTCTTGCCCGCTTCCATCGCTGCAACACCTGTTGGTTTGCTGTTTGCCTGGCAAACCGAGGGCCATCCAAAATAGCCGTGTGGGGGTGTCTTAAAACTGCCTACCTTCTCTGGTCAGAAGAAATCCAGAGCATTCAGGAGCAGAATCTAAAGTTAGAAGGAGGACATACTGCTGCATTGTTTTCAGCAAAGCCAGCACTTCAACATAGCATGTTTCCATAATGTCTGATCATATAAGAGGCCACCTTACATGTGTGCAAGCCAGACTCACAGAGTAACTACAGTACTGAAGCTGCTTTAGGCCAGATGTTGAGCTCCGGCTCCACACAAGATTACCTCCACCTGCTCCTGAGAACCGCAGATAACAGAGCAACTTAACAGCAGGAGAAAAATAACCCAGATCTAATCACATTTCCTCACTATTGCTATCCTCCGTCCTCCTGAAGTAACCACACTGATTTGGTTTAGTCACACACAATTATATCTTAGAAACACATCATTATAAAACACACATCATGCCACCAATCCTGTCCCCGAGGAGGACTTTTGGCTCTGCTTAAGATTTCTGTGGAACTGCGTGTTTAACAAGATCTCTACTAGCAGGTAAGGCCATCCGTATGGCTGCAGCGCACAGCACAACTGACTGCAACCCATACCTGGCACGATGCCTGATTACGCTAATCTCCTGTCAGACAAAACAAACCCACAGGCAGCTCAGTAACGAGAAGAACAGAGAAAACAATGCCACTGATTGGATATTGCGCCCTTAATCAGGAAGTGGGAATCAAAATCGCTCAGTTCTGATTGGTTCGAAACCTTAGAGCCACGGTCTGAGAGGATAGACATCACTAATAGCTGCTTACAATAATAGGGCAGAACGGATTAGGAGACTGTCACTGAACGTCAGAGGTCGATTAACAAGGCTTTATGGTGAAGCATCAACACAGGGGTTTTCTAACTTAATCTTGGCTCAGCTCATTTTCTCGCAGTGGGGAAACACAGTTACACTCAAGCCACTCCCTCTCGGTTGCAAAACACTGACCTGCAGTCATGGAGGGAGACCGGGAAGTCAGAGGAGTTTGTGTCTGGAAAACTCGGAGGATTCCTAGATAGTAAATCCTAAAAATAGTCCGTGGTTTCCAATCTTCAATCTACTGCTTTTATAACCTGTACGATCACAGCCTGACTCTAAGCCCAATCTGAAACGTATTTTCTCTTTCGCTCAGAAAATACCAGATTTTCCTCCACTGTGTGACTGTGAAGTGTGAACCCCCTCCATAAAAGCCTCACCTGATGATTAAAGCTGATTAATTATGCAGATGAGTGTGTGGGAGAGGAGAAAACTGCCAGAGAGACAATATGAAGAGCTATGAAAAAATCTCTCAAAGTGTCACCAGTACAAAACACAAACTGTGACATGCTGTCGGATACAAGTTTCATCGGTGCACCGAAATAAAAGAGACACACAGCAGGATCACAACATGTGGCAGGCATGTATTAGCATTTCAAAAGCTTTCTCGACTATAAATTGACAATCAAGCTGTGGAGGCTGGTGGATGACTTGGCTGAAGGGATGGAGGAGTTTATCTACACACACGAGAGAGCAATTTAAAAATGCCACCTTCCTGGCTCAAGTTTGACTCATTCAATACTTGCAGAAAAGTTTAAGAAAGAAGAAGTTAGCATTGCACGATGTACATATTCTTAAAAAGTCATGTTGACCGGCTGGTCATGAAAAACAAAGTTTTTAGGGCACAGCAACAAACTGAACAAATAAAACGATACATATTTATAAGATTAGGGGTAGCCCTCACTGAGTTCTTGTCCTTTCATAAGACCACAAGGACATTCCATAAAAGAGAGCAAAACTTAACATAACATTTTGCTTTTAAAATAAAAGATAACGCCTAAATAGTGATTGGATAAAAATGAATCAAAGTAACTCAACTCCAAACTTTTTCTTTTAACTTTAATTAACTTCTGTTCATGTGACTCTCATTCATTCATGCCACCATGAGGAGTCATGAATTGATGATGCAATCAGCAGTATTGCCAGTAAAAACTGCTTAAAGCGCAGTATTTTCTGGTGATCAAAATATCTATATTTGGCATCAGAGATTTGATAACTGTGTCACACAAGTCAGGAGGACAAAATATTGCTGGATTGATATTTTGTCCCACCACTCGCCTGCCTATTTCATTTAAATTTGACCCTTAAGATATTTACGCATTTCAACAGTAAAGTGGCGTCCCAGGACTAGCCTTGATATTATATTTCAAAGAATCTCAAATTTAATAGTTGCTATTCTATTCGTAATGATAAATCAACACTAACCCTCAAACTTTAAAAGTGATGGGGCACCTGTAGAGTAATGATTAGTTCACGTGCCCCATGTACGCAGGCTGTGGTCCCCCAGGCCGGGTTCAAATCTGACCCATGGCACCTTTCCTCCATGTCACTCCCTACTCTCTATCTTCCTGTTTTCTGACCCTATCCACTGTCCTATCTCTAAAACAAAGGCCCAAAAAGCCCCAAAAAATATACCTTTAAAAAAAACTTACATTGTGATTTTTAAAGTCTCTTTCACATCTCTGCCTACGTTATAGTTACAGCAGTACGTTCATAAAGCAGGTCTGATTACAGACAGTGGGAAAGGTGACAGCTGACTATCATGCTTTAAACAGCACCTGGATGATTTTCCATTCTCTGTCTCATAAATAAACAGCTCAGCTTCCCACGACAGCACTACCCTTTTGACAGCAGTTGAACCCTCAACAGCTCTTGTTAGTGTGAGCCAATTTCCATGTAAGTGTAGAAAAACCAGAGGAGTCAAGCAAGCAATGACACCAAGGTGTAAGTGAACGTTATCACAGTCAGACTGAAACAGTGATGTCACCAAGAGAAAATACTGAATAAACAGTGGACATGGAAGGGATTGATGCAATACAGGATATTGAGCAACCTGCGGCCCTGCTGTGTTTTATTAGAGAGAAGTCAGATGATATGAATCAAAGCAAACAGACTCACAGGGACAGCTCACACATCTAGATCCCGAGGTATTCCATCCTAGCATGACGAACAAGGCATGATAGATTTGTCATTTGACACCCATATTTTGACCTTGGCTGCTGATGTATTCACATTTATCATTGCACCTCAGAACAGGAAGGTATGCTGCTGTATTTTCCTTTTAGCGACATTACAGTGAGCATGTCAATCAACCGCCTCACTTTAAAAAAGGTAAAATAAAAATAGACCACTCTCATCGTTATCTAAGGGGAGAAGTATGGATTGCCCATTTCGCCTTCAGTGTGAAAACTGCTGTTTGTGAAGACAAGGTGACATTTTGCTGTCTGGGTTTGGCGGTCTGCCTTTTCATCTGGCCAGCAAAAAGCAAGCAGCCTGCTGTGTGGAAGAGATGACAAACAAGGGCAGAGGAGGAGACGCTCTGAACTTGAAGTGAAATATTTCTGTCTGAAGCAGGGAAAGGAGAGAAATCAAACTTCTGTTTTTGTATCACTAATCTTAAGGCCTTTAGGGAGGGTTTTTTTGACTCTTTCTATTTTTATTTCAATAAATACAAAAATGTGCCTCTATTATCTGGGCTTTGATAGTCATATTTTAGAGCATTTTACTATATTTTGCACCTCATACATCATTGTATAATAATAAGGACATCTGGTAGGGTTACAGAGGAACAATCATAGCTCAAATGCTGAAGAACATGCTGGAAAACTAAAGGTTTTTAAATATCTGTTTATACAAAGTAACTGTTCCCTCTACTATCTAAAAACCATTATTCTGAATCTGGAGCACTCTTATGGAGAAGGTAAGCTAAAATTGGATGGAGAAAAAGAGCTAAAACACCTTGCAGATCAGCAGAGTTATTTTCTTCTGAATAGATCCATGCCAGGTGGCCTGCTGTGTCTTGATTAGCTCGTACTACTGTGTTGTGACTTACTTTGAAAGTCAATAGGGCAAACACAGGACACAG